TACAGGTGTGAGCCACCAGTGCCCGGCTTCATCTCCTTTTTCAAGCAGAAAGTGATCAGGCCCCAGGCTCGTGGCTGGGGCAGGCAGTGGTCTCTGCCTCACAGTTATGTCTTTAGAAATAAATGTCTTGATGCTTCCCTTCTCTCTGTGGCTGGAGATACTGGTTTTCCCTTTAGGATAGGGATAGGAGGTTTTCCTTTTCAAACAAATTGATCCAAGTGGGAAATAATAATTTGAAGTGAAAGGTCGAAGGTGGAGAGGCCCTCAGAGCCAGGGGAAGGGAGGGTGGGGTGGGAGGAGGCCTTGGTGTGGGATTGCCTTTGTATCCCTAATACCAAGCAAAGAATGTGCCCTGGACTGGACCCCACGCGCCTGGCCTTCCTGGCTTCCTATCGCTGCATTCACCTTTGCCCCCCTCTCCACGCACCCATCTTTTTATTTACAGAGCAGATCCGCTTTCTAGCACCATGAACGGGGCTGGGGGGATGCTCAGCTGTAGGCTGAGCCCTCCCCATGCCTTCTTTCTTTGCTTCTGGTGTCTGTATTCCTCACCCTCTCTCTTCCAGGATCCTACCCAGCAGACTGAGTCAGCTCAGAATTCCTAGGTGAGGTTTCAAGGTCAAACAAGCAGTACGGCCAGGTTGATCCCTACAGGAGTAAAGACACATAGGGAAAATAAAATAAAGAGATATGGGGAGGGGCACCCTCCTGCCCTTGCTCTGTGCAGATGTGAACCAGCTTTACCAAATCATTCAGTTGTCCTATGAGTCGAAAGCCCTCCTGTGCACAGGAATTGGCATTTTTGTTAATTCCCTGTGGGTTGCCAGCCTCTGTTGGCACGCAACTTCTGTGCAGTGACATTTTTGGGGGGTTAAGTCCTGTTCAGGGAGGGTCTGACTTGCCCAGAATTTGTGCAAGGTGCCCCCTGGGAGTTCCCAGAGGGCAGGATGAGGCCAGAACACCCAGTCCCACTGGGTGCTGGGCCTGGTGGGCAGCCACACGGCTCTGATTCATTGATGGATTCCTAGGTGACCTTTAGAAATGAGGGCTGTCAAGGAAACCAGGGTTCCTGGGGAGCTGGGACAACGACCCACACCCGCAGCCATGGATCAGTAGGCTTCCAAGCCTTGTAGGAAGTGTCTGGGTGGGTCTGGGGGGGACATAGAAACTCATTGATGACACCTAGGACCTTGCCCAGGGTAGAAACCTGTGACACTTCTTCATCCTTTCACTTGTCCTTGACAGCAGACATCCTGGGTTGCCAGTAATGAGAAACCCAACTCTAACTGGCGAAATAAATACGTAAAAACAATTAATTGGTTCCAGCATCCAGAAAGGACCTAGGAATCCAGTCCTGCACCTGATTGGACAAGGGGCTCAGCCAATCAGGGAGCCGCCCCCAGCACCTCAGGCTGTGCTCTCAAGGAAGAACTTCCTTCCCTAGCAGGTCAACTTATGTGGCAAGATGGCCTCATGGCTCCAGGCCCACTTCCAGTCAGCCTAGCAACTCCTGAGGGTTGTCATTGGCCCGACCTCGGCCTGGGCCTTTGCCTAAACCAATCACATAGTCAGGAATGCGGCATTCTGATTGGCCCAGTCCTCCTCTCCCATCAAAGTGCAGAGGGTGGTGCTTAGAGAAAAATGTTGATCCCTGACCAGAAGGGAGATGCCAGAGCCGGCTCTCTCCAGCCCCTCCCTGCTCTGCAGCTGTGCCTGTCTTCAGAAAGCCCAAAAATGAGGAGATTTAAGTTAAAGCCCAGGCTAGGGTGGTGGGGTACAGAACAAAGCACTCTTGTGCCTTCGCCCAGGCCCAGAAAGTCGCTGGTTTTTGCATAGCTGCCCTCCCCCAGCACTGTCACTTTTGGAAGTGTCTGCAAGTTAGTCTCTGTTTCCTGCAGCCCTGAGCTTAGCACAGAATCCGTAATGTCAGGCGCCACCACTCTTCTATCATACACTAAGTTTCAAAGGCCAGATTTAATTTCCATGGGAATTTCTGATCGATCACAGAGCTGGTCTTGACGGCCTTGCTCTCCGATTTAAGAGGGGCTCAAGGGGCTTAGACCAGAGCTAGATTCCCACATGGCTTGCAGGCTCCCTGAGTAGGCCAGGCACAGCAGTATGAGCCTCTCAGTATGACTCAGGCCCTCACCTTCCCTGGCCGGCCTTCTCTTTCTTACTTGGCTAAGGTGCCTTGACAGAGCCTGTAGAGGGCACACAGGCCCATCAGTGGACTGGCATTGTCAGCAGGCAGTTTCCTGGGTCCCAGAAGCCTACCCCAGGGGCCCCCATGTTGAGGAAACCTGTCTGGGAAGAACTTGTTTCTTGCGATCTCAGAGTTCCTTCTCCTTAATCTTTGTATCCTGGTTCTTGTCCTTACCCCTCCACCAACATCAGGGCCTGGATCACACAGGAAGCTAAGCAAAGCCCACCAACTTTCCGTATGAATAATTTATACATATTAGCCATTACCCTGTGCTGGATACTGTTGCAAATGTGCCATGTACATGAATACATTTGGTAATCACAGCAGCCCTATAAGGCTCGAACATTGGGATTACACCCATTTATCTGAATCCCAGACAGGCGTTCCAAAATGCCCACGGCAGAAGGGGATGGCTGTCCCCTGTTCATAACAGCTGGCTCACCATCGCTACAATCCAGTCTCCCCCAAGGCTTGCGCCAATGCTTGGACACTCTAGAACGAGGCAATAAAGTCACACGTTCCAAGGCAAACTCCAGACAAGGGGCCATCGGTGACTCCAAGCTGTGCTGCAAGCCATTCCCCTGCCTTGGGCAACTCATTCTTCCTGCTGGCTTAGATTTTTCTTCCTTCCAGCAGCTTCTTGGTGTCCAAGACTAAGTTGGATCTCCTACTCAGCACATGAAGTCATAGCCCCCAGAATTTTCCAAGTGGGCAGGCATTGTGTCTTGGTTTGGTTTGATCTTTTTAAAAGCTTTACTTGTTTTTGAAGTACAGACCAGTTTTCCTTCTCTTAAATTTCAAATACACGTGTCTGGCTTCTTGTGCTCCACATTACATCTGTGAGATACACTTAGGTGGCTGCGGTTTCAGTGGTTTGTGATTTTTATTGTATAGTATTCCACTGAATAAATATAACAAGGTTAATATTGTTGGTGGAGGTGTCAGCTAGGATATCCGGCACCTGGAACTCTCACTATTTGCTGATGGAAGTATACATTGCCACAACTATAAAGGAAACTCATCCATCATTGTTACAGTAACACTTCTGCAGAGCGTCATTGTTACAGTAACACTGTACGCTTCTGTGCCAGGCACTATACTGTTTCATCAGCATTGTCTCACAGACTCCTCGCAATGGCTCTGGGAAGGAAAGAGTTGCCAGGATAATCATGGTGTTAACATAATAGGATTACGGGGCAGTTTAAGTGAGAGACCACACTTTGAAGGGCTTAACCCAAAGCTTCCATTTTGGAAATGCTATTATCTGTTATTGTTACTTATGGGCATAGGGTTAGGGTTTAAGCCTACATAGGACATCCTGAGCAAATCAGCTCAGCAGCCTTGGCCTCAGAAAGCCTGGGACCCCACAAAGGTGCTAGTTAATCCCTCTGGGGATGACACAAGGCATACTCTTGAATAAGAAGGGTCACCAGATGACACTGAAACTGTAAATGAGGAAGGGCCTGAGGGTATTCAGACCAAGCCCTCTCTTACACACTTCTAGAAGTACACACCCTGCCCAGCCATTGGTTAAGATGGGGTCTCACAAACTTTTTGCTCTGCCTCACCTCAAACCTCGATCCTCCTGATCTCCACCTCCAGAGTCGCTAGGATTACAGTATGCCACACGATGCTGGTAAGTCAGTAAATTTCTAAATTTCATTCATAAATACGATATAAGGTCCTCCTTGCTCCAGGCCAGCAGGGCCAAGGCAGCAGGAAGAGACATGTGGTGACAAGTGTTATGAAGGACCCACAGCAAAGACAGGAGAAGAGGTCCTTGGGGGAGAAAGGCACTTTAGAGGAAGTGGCCACTGAAGACTTAAGTTCTCAGGAAAGATGAGCCCCAGTGGGCAAGAAGAGGTGACCACAAGTTCCAAGTCCCCGGAGATGGGGACTTGTCCACAGAGGGTGGACAGAAGAGCTGGGCTGGGGGAGGAGGAGGAGGAGGGCCTGTTCCTGTTCACGAAAACCTTATGGACCAGGACACGGGGGAGGGGGGAGTATCTCAAGGTTGAGTAGGTTTAAGCTGGAGATGCAGCAGGGAAGTTCCCCCAGCGTGAGAAAGGCCTCCTGATGACCAAGGGTGTGCGGGTTTGCGGGGGAGGGGCATGCATGGAAGAGGCGCACGGCACACTGAATGAATGAACCAAAAAAATGCATTGCTAGGTCAGCGTCCATGCAGCCAGGAGGAACAGCTGGTCCGCAGAGGGCCTCACCCAGGGCGGCCTGACACCCCAGTTCCGGGCCCGGGCACCACCCCGCGCTGTGACCTTGGGGACATCCACGCCGCCGGGGTCTCAGGGCCCGGAACCCTGCGTCTCGGGGGGTGGAGGGGGTCGGGGAGGACGTGCAGGAGGGACAGCAGACGCACGGCGGGTCCATGGGCCTGGCCTGCCCTGCGCCCATCCCGCCATCGGGAGACCCTGGTGGCTCTCGCTGTTTACAACCCACCCGCTCTAGCCACGCGGCTCTCCACAGTCCCCGCCCCTCCGCCGCGCTCCCGCCACACTTCTCCCGCGTCCCGCCCCGCGCCACGGCCGCCGCGTGGCCACGCCCCCCGCGTCCGGGACCCTCCTGCGCGCAGGCCCTGTCACTTAGCCCCGCCCCCGCGCCCACCAAAGACCACGCCCACCAGGAAACCACACCCCGTTTATGCAAAGCACGCCCCTTTCCAGAGGCCACGCCCCCTCCGAGGCCTGGAGCGCCGCGCGGCGGGGCGGGCCGGGGCCCTGGCGGCGGCCGCTGAGCGGCTCGGACCCGGGCGGGGCGGGGCGGCGGCGGCGGCGGGGCGGTGCGAGGGCGGGCCGCGCCGGTTCCGCGCGCAGGGAGTTTTAAATGTCCCGCTCTGAGCCGGGCGCAGGAGCAGCCGGCGCGGCCGCCAGCGCGGTGTAGGGGGCAGGCGCGGATCCCGCCACCACCGCGCGCTCGGCTCGCCGCCCGGACCCGGCTCCGATCCGCACGGCTCGTGCGCCTCGCCTCCCGCCGACACCGCTTCGGGTAGGGCTCGCCGGTGCGCGCGCCGTCGCTCCCCGAGCGGGGATCGGGTCGGGTCGGGCCGGGCCGGGCCGGGCCGGGCCAGAGTGGGGGTGGGGCGAGGCTGGGTCCTGAGGTCCCGGAGGCGTCAACGCGGGGGTTCCCCCGGGGAGGGAGGCGCAGGCACCGGGTAGGGGAGGGGAAGGTGTGGAAGGGGAGACTGAGGCAGCCTCGGGGCCCCTCTAGGGATGTGTGATGATGGTGGTAGTGGTGGTGGTGGGGGGGGTAATCCTAGCGAGTGTGTGTACGAAGAGGGAGAGGGAGGGGGCCGACACATCTGGGTCCCTCCAAGCTCAGGTTCGGGTCCAGGATCGCGGGCTGCTGGCCTCGCCGTGGGGGTGACAGGCCACCCGGGCCCATCGGCCATTTTCCAGGCGGGCCCGGGAGGCTCCCGCCGCCGCCGCCACCCGCCCGCGCGGGAGGGGGGAGGGGTGCGGGGCGAGTGTCGGCTCCGCGTCCCCGCTGCTCCTCACCCGGTTGCTCTGGTGTCCCGCAGGCCTAAGATCCGAACCGCAGCCCCGCGCCATGCCAAGGGAACGGAAGGAGAGGTGAGTGGCCCGGCGCTGCGGGAGGGGAAGGGGAAGGGGAGGGGGAGCGCGTGGGGGAGGGGCGGGCTGAGATTGGGGAGTGCTCACCCCCACCCCGGATCTCCCCTCCCGGCTTTGCAGGGATGCGAAGGAAAGGGGCACCATGAAAGAAGAAGGTGGCCCGGACCACTCAGTCCGCTCCAGGAAAAGGAAGGCAAATGTGGCCGTTGTGAGTACAAAGGACACAGGTGGGGGAGGAGCCCCCCCTTCCATGGTACCTGGGTACCAGACTTGGGTCTGACCACATGTGTATTGATGGGGGTTGGTGTGGACGGGGGTGGGGGCCAGGGATTCCCTTGGCAGAAATGGTGATCAGAACCTAATCAACTTTTTTCTCTCTGTTTTTGTCTTTGGGTTGTTTGGTGTCTTTTTTTTGGGGGGGGGGTTCTGTTAGTTTTTGCAGGATCCAGATGAAGAAATTGCCAAAATTGACAGGACTGCAAAAGGGTCCAGCGACAGTCAGGTAGGTCTTTCGGCCTACTGGACCTGCAGGAGGCCTCACGCTCTCCTAAGGTCTAGTCTCTCTTAACTAGAGCCACACACAGTCCACATGGCTGAGTGCTGTGCCTGCCAGTACACACTGGCCTCTGCCAGCCCTGGGATTCCAGGAAGGCCCTGTGTTTAATGGCTAGTGACCTGGGGGATAGGGCTTGTGAGTGTCAGAAGCAACCACTTCTCCTCCAGAGACACCTGGGGTTTTTGTCATGGTGTTTCAGAACTGCTTCCTGTCCCCTTTAGGTCAGGTTTCAACCTTTTCTCCCCTTTGTGGCTCTGAACATTGCTCCAGGCCATCCAGCAGTTACCTGCCTTGATCACCAACCTGGTCTGAGCAAGGGGCTTAGTGGAACCTTCTGGGTAGTGATAAGTGTGTCCCCCTCCTTGTGCAGTGCCTGCCAGGTCTCCTGAGTGCAGTGTGATATCATATAATATCAGAAGCTCCCTGCAGAGAGCGCTTCTACTATCTCTTTGCCTCCAGAAATGGCTGTAGACTATAGTTATGGCTTTGGTGGGGGGAGCACCCCAGCTAACCAGGCCTTTGGCCTCTCTCACAGATAACGCTGAGCAGGAGCAGTATCTGTCTTCAGTACTGTGGTCCCCACGAGGTCAGCAGTGGGCAGCATGTGACAGTAGAGCAGTGTGGTCTGGGAGAGGACAGAGCTTCCAAAGTGACAGGCCCTGTTGGCAAGCAGTGTAACAGCATGAGATCCTGGTTTCTGGGGAACACCTGAGAAACTGAGCAAGGGGGGTTTGGTCTCCTTCGACTACTAACTTCAGGAGAGGACGTGAGACCGCGCACCCCCTCTCCTTTCCATTCCTGTTCTCCATTCAAACCAAGTGATTTTGTGTGTTGTAAAGTGATGAATCCCTGCTTTGTGAGATTCAGGGTTGGTCATTTTGCCAGTTCTGTTGTAAATAGAAGTTTCCAGCAGAACTTCCGTGTTCACTTCTTGGGCTTAGACTTTCACCTGGGCAGTTCATGAGAAGGTGTCTTTTTGGCTGTCCAGTGATGCACATTTGGTACAGTAGATAGCTTGAAAATTACCCATCAATTTACAGATCAATGTCTTCCTTCTTTCTCTGAGAATTCATGAAACTAGGATTTGGGGGTACCACAGACCTATTAATTGCACAGAATTGTTCTCTGGAGTTCAGGAGTTCTGCCTAGTACAACACCTTTGAGCTAGGAGAAGCCATCATGGTAAATTCATTGTAACTACTGCATCAAGGCCACATGGAATCTGGCCATTTTTTATCTTAGGCCTGTCTGTGTTTGAGACATGGTGTAGCCCAGGCTGAGTTGGTGAACTCTTACCTTCCTGCCTCAGTCTCTCAAGTGCTAGGATTACAGGTGTGCACTGCCACATCTGGCTCTAAGGCTATTCATGAGACCTAATTTTTCTTCCAGTACCGGCCATGTACCATGGCCTTGTACATGCTAGCGTGTGCAAATGATCTCTCACTTAGCTACGTCCCCCAGCCCCTGAGACCTAACTTTTTTTTATTTAAAGTCAGATCCCGGACTGCTCGTTCTCAGAACATTTTGCATAAGGAAAAAAGGTACTAAGAGGTGAAGGTAGTTACCATCCTCACAATTGATCCCACTCCTTCCCAAGCAGACTGACCTGACACTTCCTTTCAAAGACAAACATGAACTTGACTGTTCTGCCTTTATACCCTGGCTCCTGAGGAGGCCTGCTTTGGAGCCCCTTTGTCTGAGCTGCAGGTTGGGAACTGCTGTGTCTTGTCTTACCCCAAAGGCCTGCTCTCAGATGTGCCAGTTATCTGGCCTTGGAGGGTGGCATACAGTTTGTGTCTTTAGAACTAGAATTCATTCTTCTGACTTTTTTTTTGCTTTTGATGGCACTGGGGTTTGAACTCAGGGCCTTGTGCTTGCTAGATAGGCACTCAACAGTTGAGCCACTCCACCAGCCCTAGAATTCATTCTTGAATGTAGAGCAAATTGGTAATGTGACCCTTTGGTGGAGGCGGGCCACTGGCACCCCATACTAGGACCGGAAGGAAATTGCCTTTTGCACAGCTGTTGGCAGGGGTTGTTGTGGAGAATTTGCATGCCCAATTCTTTGTACACCACGGAGGGGAGGTTGGTCCAGCTTGGCTCTTCCCAGGAGACAGAGCACGTGGACCTCTTGAGCGTGGCTGTGCTGCGTGGGCTTCAAGGAGCATGGACAGCAGGAGTCCCCGTTCCTTTTGTTGTTCCAGTCCCGTGTTCCGTTCCAGTCAGCCTTTGTGGTCTCTGCTTTAAAACACACTCACACTCACTGGCTTCTCTGCTAGTGGGATTGTTAACCTGCCTGGCTTCTTTATTATTTTACTTACTTACTTTTGGTGGGCTCTGGGGTTTGAACTTGGGGCTTCATGCTAGCAAACCAAGCTCCCTAATGCCTGAGTCACACTTGTAATCTGTTTTTGCTCTAGTTATTTTATAGAGATTTGGGTCTTGTGAACTGTTTGCTCTGGCCTCAAATGTGATCCTCCGGATGTCAGCCTCCCAAGTAGCTAGGATGACAGAGTGCCCTGCTTGATTTAGTTTTAACTCGGTGTGGCTGATTTTTTTGTTTTGTCTTGAGTCAAGGAACATAAGAGATTCCCGCTCTTTGACCTGGCTGGCCAGTCTTTTTTTTTTTTTTGCAGTGCTGGGGTTTAAACTCAGGGCCTACACCTTGAGCCACTCCACCAGCCTTTTTTCAAGAGAGTCTCATGAACTATTTGCCCAGGCTGGCTTCGAACTGAGATCCTTCTGCTCTCTACCTCCTAATTAGGTAGGATTACATGCAGAGCCACAGGTGCCTGGCTTAGCCAGTTCTTTTCTTATACCGTAAAAGCCCATTGACTTATATCTTACTTCCCTGGGTCCGGCCCCAAGGGATCTCCTCGCTTGCTTAGGAGCTTCCCGCACAGATCCCAGAGCTAGTGGCAGGTGACAGGAAGCTTCACAGCCTTGCCAACTCAGTCTTAACCCAGGCCACGTGCTCAAGCCTGGAGACCACTCCCATTGAAATACTGGCTCACCTACAAATCAGTGAGCGTGAGAATGTCTGGCTTACAGCCAACTTTTTTTCTTTCTTTCATTTTATCATGTTTACATTTGCTTATTGTGTGTATTGTTTGGGTCCCTCCCTACATCCAGCATTTTGATCTGTGTTTCTCTGTCAGCCTTGGGATGATAACACAGTATGTGCAGATCCCTGCTCTGTGATCCCCACCCCCAACAAAGAAGAGGGTGAGGAGCTGGTGTATCCCAATGCTACATTTGAGCCTCGGAAACGCCGGCCGTCCAGAGCCTCCCCGCTGCCTGTGCTGAAGTAGGTGTTGACTTTGTTGCATGGCTTCCAGACCTGAGTCCCCGGGAGCATGGGTGCATCCTGATAACCTGTTGGGGTTGTGTTTTCTGTTTTCCTCCTGTAGCTGGGCAAATAGAGAGGAGGTTTGGAAGATCATGCTGAACAAGGAGAAGGCATACCTACGGGATGAGCACTTTCTGCAGCGACATCCTCTTCTGCAGGCCAGAATGCGAGCCGTTCTTCTGGACTGGTTGATGGAGGTGAGCCTGCGTCCCAGCACTGGGTATTGACTGTTTCTAGATTCTTCTGTACCATTACGGTTTCTGCAGGTTTGATTCCTCTGGCACATTCTGTATTAAAACAGCTTCTGAAATCACTGGGCGAGGTGGTACCTGCTTGTGATGATGCAGGTAGTCAAGAGTGGAGGCAGGAGGATTGTGAGTTCAAGGCCCATCTGGGCTACTTAGAGAGACCCTCTTCTCAAAAGAACAAACAGCTGGGCACTGGTGGCTCACGCCTATAACCCTAGCTACTTGAGAGGCTAAGATCAATAGAATTGCAGTTTGAGGCCAGCTCCAGGCAAATAGTTCTCGAGAACCCCATCTCCAAAATAACCAGAGCAAAATGGACTGGAGGTGTGGCTCAAGCAGTAGAGTGCATGCTTTGCAAGTGTGAAGCCCTGAGTTCAAATCCCAGTCCTACCAAAAAAAAAATTCTAGAAAATCATTTTTACCCTTTAGGTGTTCTATGTTACTTTTCTTTTTTTGAGGCAGAGTCTCACTTTATACCCCAGGCTGGCCTTAAACTTGCAATCCTCCTATCCCAGCCTCCCAGGTGCTGGGATAACAAGTGTGCAGCACCACACCTGTTTCCCTTAGATATTTTACAGTTGGCATGTAACACTTTCAATCAAAGTCTAAGTTGTTGCAAAGGTCATATTTCCCAATAAATTGTAAATATTGATATTTGATCTCTGCATTAAATTGCTTCTTTTGTAGGACTAGAGTTTGAACTCAGGGCTTGGCATGTGCAAAGCAGGCACTATACCACTTGAGCCATTTTTCTCTGATTATTTTTATTTGAGATAGAATCCCATGAACTACTTGCCCGAGCTGACCTCAAACCTCAATCCTCCTGATCTCAGACTCCCTCGTAGCTAGGATCACAGGTGTGAGCCACTGGCACCCGGCATTGAATTGCTCTTAAATGTACCCACTGGAATGCACTTACCAGCTCTGATAGCCGCTATCGTAAGTTTTAAAAAAATCTATGACCAAGCTTATCTTGTCAGGCAGCCCTTAACCTGATTCCTCTTTGAATTCCTGGAATCCATTCTCTTTCCTCACCTGCTATCTCATTACAATCTTTTATTGGTTATCACCGCCCTGTATCTCTGCCACAGTCATCAAAAGAACCATCGTACCGGACTGGATGTGGAAGGGGGCTGCGTGTGGCTCCATGGGCATGCCTGGCATGCTCCAGGCCCTGGGATCCATCCCCAGCACCACCGAAAACAAGAAAACAAAGCCAGTGCAAGTGAAGAACAAGTATTAGGAGTTAGCAAGGTGACTGTGGGAAGTGCAGCTCTTCCTGGGATAACTGAGTGGTTTGCAGTGCCCTGTTAAGGGAGCTTTCCTGGACACCCTGAGGCCTGGCCTGGTGGCAAAAATGCAGGTGTCCGTCTGGGAGGTGGAAGGGCGTTTCCATGACAGCTGGGTGTCTTAACTGGTCCCTCCAACATAAGCAGGCCTGGGTACCCTGTGGAAGTCCACAGGCCATCCCCGCTCCCTGATGCCACTTAATCATCCAGGGTGCAGGGCTGGCAGGTCACTTAACTCTTCATTTCCTCACTTGGACTGGCTTCTAGCAGTGTTTTCTTTGTGGAGTTTGCAGACTAGAAATGGTGATGAGATATTTTTATTACATTCATTGACATTCTTCATGCTCCCGATCTTTGGTAGGCCTGCGTGGGAGGGATGGGGGTCTTCACTTGCTTTCGATGGCCTGCCACATCCCATATCCCTCGGCACAAGCCCTTTGGTGCCCTTCACAGCCTTTACAATTCCTGCAAGCGTTGGGTGTCTAGATCTCAGGCTGCAACTCTTTACAGAAACGTGACTGAGAAGTTCTGTTTGGTAAAGTGCAATTGAAGCTGCTGTAGTGTGGAGGGCTGTTTTTACTACAGATGGGTTGACTGGACTTGAAATACTCTACAGTGAGTAATAGAATTTTTTTTTTTTTTTGGCAGTATAGAGGTTTGAACTCAGGGCCTTCACCTTGAACCACTCCACCAGCCCTGTTTTGTGATGGGTTTTTACAAGAGAGTTTCTTGCAGAACTATTTGCCTAGGCTGGCTTTGAACCATGATCCTCCTGATTTCTGCCTCTTAAGTAGCTGGGATTACAGGTGTGAAAACACCCAGCTCCCAGCTCTTTTCCATCCCACCATGCTCACTTCTTTACCAGGTCCTCTGAGAGTGATCAGGGCAGATCTTGTCCTTGTTTTATGGTTTGAGGAACCTGAAGTAAATGGGTTTGTCTAAGCTACAGCCTAAATTACAGCCTAGTCCCTGGGTTGTTTTAATCAAAGCCTTTCATCTTAGGACTTACAGCATTTGGGGCACACTGTGGTCTTTAAGTAAATGTGCGTTCCAGCTCTGATTCTTGCCCGTGCCACTCAGTCGTGAGGAAGTCACGTTAGTTCTTCTTAGTTCATGAAGTGATAGAGGGGCCTGCATTCTGTTTCATGGAAATGCCCTCACCAGATATGAGCATAGCTGATTCCCTGACCTGTGAAGATTTACTCTTTAAAACATTGTCGTGAGCAGATATTAGTTGTATGGGGTTTCACTGCCACTCTCACATTTCCATATGTGCTTATAGTGCATCTTGGTGGGGTTCACCCCGTCCATCGTGCTCCCTCATCCCCACACCCTCTTACCATGATTTCCACAGGATTTTCATCTTAACGTTCACTTCTGCCTTGCATAGATCACAGAATGCTTTATCCTGATCTGAGCTCCAGTTTTTCATGTGCGTGTGGTTAGGGACAAGCATGGTACATCTTTCTAGAGAAGCAAAAATAGCTTTCTTATCTCTCTGGATTTGACTGTATTGTCTTTCACCAAAACTCAGGACAAGTTTACTTACTAGTTTATTTGCAATCACTGTTCTCAAGTGTCCTAAATATTTTTCCAGGTGTGCGAAGTCTATAAGCTTCACCGGGAGACGTTTTACCTGGCACAGGACTTCTTTGATCGGTATATGGCAACACAAGAAAATATTGTCAAAACACTTTTGCAGCTGATTGGAATTTCAGCCTTATTTATTGCTGCCAAACTGGAGGTAAACAGTTTTCAACTGTTTTGTTACGTCATAGCTGCTACTTAAGTTCCAGTGGGATGGGGGAAGAGGTCAGCTATTTGTCTGTAATGCATATCCTTGATTTTTTAAATTTGACATCTTCCAGAATTAAGATCCATGCAAAAAAAAAAAAAAAAAGGCTGGGTATTATCCAAAGAGGGAGAAGAGGAGAAAGTGTCTACAACATTTTAGTTAATGTAGTTTCAATAGACAAAAAAGTAAACTAAGAGAAAAATGTTGGTGGGGGCCGGACATGGTGGCACACACCTGTAATCCCAGCACTCTGGAGGGTGAGATAGGAGGCTCTCAAATTCCAGGCAAGTCTGAACTACCTAGGAAGATCCTGTCTCAAAATAAAACAAGAAATATTTGGTTTTTCCAGTGTGATTGTAAAAGAGTCTATGGACCCGACTTCAAATGTGTTAAATGTTGAAAAGGTGACACTTTAAGTCACTCACACTGAGCTGAGTTCTGTGTACCTGTCTCGGTGTTCATTTCTTTGCATGAGGGGGGTGAGAATTTCATTTTTTAAACCACCGAGGCGGCTCCCATGTTGATCCTGCTCTCCCTGGGGCAGAGTAGGACTGGGAGCAGCTTTGGGTGCACGTGCTCAGGTGGCCCTCGCTCTCCTTTCAGGAAATCTACCCTCCAAAGCTACACCAGTTTGCTTATGTCACGGACGGTGCTTGCTCAGGAGACGAAATTCTTACCATGGAATTGGTGATTATGAAGGTAAGTGACAAGTCCATGTTCAGGCTTTCTCTACGTAGCCCAGGCTGACCTGGAACTCATGAGTCCCCTGCCTCAGCCTCCCGAGTGCTGGGATTGCAGGTGTGCACCACTATGCCTGGCTTCAGCCATTTTCAAGATGCATAAGTGACGTCTTTCTTCCCAGCCAAACACACGATGGCTGCATCCTGAACTCCTCATAGCGCCGGTCTCTTTCTTGTCTCCTCCAGGCCCTCAAGTGGCGGTTAAGCCCGCTGACCATCGTGTCCTGGCTGAACGTGTACATGCAGGTTGCATATCTGGATGACGTGTACCAGGTGCTCATGCCGCAGTACCCCCAGCAAGTCTTTGTCCAGGTCGCAGAGGTCAGTAGCCCATGTTCTCTGAGGCTCTGGCCAGCAGCCCTGGTGACAGCCGCGGTGTGACAGTGCCAGCATGGGTCTTAGCGTCCTTTCCCCCTTTAGCTTCTAGATCTGTGTATCCTGGACGTGGGCTGCTTGGAATTTCCGTATGGCGTGCTCGCCGCCTCCGCCCTGTACCATTTCTCGTCGTCCGAGCTGATGCAGAAGGTTTCGGGGTATCAGTGGTGCGACATTGAGAAGTGCGTCAAGTGGATGGTCCCGTTTGCCATGGTGATCCGGGAGACGGGCAGCGCAAAGCTGAAGCACTTCAGGGGCGTCCCCACTGAGGATGCCCACAACATCCAGACCCACATCAACGGCTTGGACCTGCTGGTCAGTGCTGTGCCCAGAAGGGCTCCAGACAGCCCAGAGAGATGCCACTTCTTTTTTATTTAATTTTTTTTCTTGGTGGGGCTGGGGTTTGAACTCAGGACTTTGCACTTGCAAACCAGGTGCTCCACCACTTGACCCACACCTCCAGTGCACTTTGCTCTGATTATTTGGGAGATGGGGTGTCATGAACTGCTTGCACAGGCTGGCCTTGAACCGTGATCCTCCCAATCTCAGCCTCCCAAGTAGCTAGGATTACAGTTGTGAGCCACCCTTACCTGGAAAAACTGCAGTTCTTTATTTCCCTGAAAAAGGGCATTTCTGGTTCACAGATGCTGTGTAGCGTAGCCTTCAGGACAGTGTTCTGCTGTTTCCCCCTAGGGCAAGTATACAGTAAGGGGAAGGGAAGATGCATTCTTGCATCTCAACATTTTGTTCTTTTATCCCCATCCACAGGAGAAAGCCCAAGCAAAGAAAGCCATATTGTCGGAACAAAACAGGATTTCCCCTCCCCCCACGGGGGTCCTCACCCCCCCGCACAGCAGTAAGAAGCAGAGCGAGGAGCAGGAGATGGTGTGACCGCCCCACCTTCCCCCTGTCTGCTGCCGGCTCCGCGTCTACAGGTACCCAAGTGGAAGAGGCGTCCCTTCTGCAACAGAAGCTCCCGGTGGTGTGAGACAGGGACAGGCCTCCTCTTGAATGCTTACGTTTTGAACTCGTGGGTCAAGTGCACCAGCCACCTCCCGAACACCAGCGAGTGCTCCAGATGCTGCTAGGAGGGTGTGCTCGACCCGACTGACTGTTGCCACCACGGACCAAGCTGGAAGTTGAGGCTGCTGCACTCCTTGACGTTCCAGGCTGCGTCCTGGGCAGTGGGACAGGGGGCTGCGAGGGGCACAGTGACACCAAGCCCACAGCCAGCGGGGCGGGGACCTGCCCGTCACACGAGCCACTGACAGTGTACCTTGCCTTTTATGAACTCTGGTTTTGTAAGTGCTGCTAAGTCTGTCCGTTTTTAATAAAGAGATACTATGTTTGAAACAGCTGCCGTGCCTGTGTCTGCGCCTTCCGCAGTGGCTGAAGCAGGTCCTCTTTCTTGACTTCTTGCTTTTCTTGTGTGTGTGCTGCTGGGTTTTGAACTGGCCTACAACTTGAGCTAACAGCCCTTTCTTTTCAAGATAGGGTCTCGGGAACTATTTGCCTGGGCTGGCATTGAACCATGATCATCCTCATCCCTGCCTCCCCAGTACCCAGGATTATAGGTGTGAGCCACCAGCATTGGCTAGGAGTGAGTTTTTGTTTTTGCGCTGCTGGGAATTGAACCCAGAGCCTCACGCTTGGCAAGGTGAGTACTCTCCCACCTGAGCCACAACCCCGGCCCTGTTTTTGGTTTTGGGACAGTGTCTCACTATGCTGTCTTAGCCTTGAATTCGGGATCCTCCTACCTCCATCTCCCAACACACCTGGCAAGCACTGAGGTTTTGTTTCATTTTGCAGTGCTGGGGATTGAACCAGGGCCTCATGCTTGCTAGGCGAGCATCTTACCACTTGACCTCTACCCCCTAGCCCTAGCAGTGAGCTTTTAATGGGGATCACTTTGTGACTTGCTGGCAAAATCCTAACAGTGGTTCCTTTACACTTGTCATTTGTTCCGCAAAAGTGGCGCTGAAAACAGTTCTGTTTCCAAAACTTTAGCAAATATTTGAGAGTTTGACAAACATGAAGCAAGCCTGAAAGTACTTTTGAGGTAAAAGTTAATTCATAGATCACTTAGCAAACCATTATAATGCAAAGAGTGTTAGTGAATACACTCAAATGGTTGCCTTGTAGACGAATTGCTGGAATACTGTGTCATAAATCAATAATTAATTATTTATTTAAGAATCTCACTAGATAGCCCAGGCTGGCCTCAAACTCCTGATCTCCTGCCTCAGCCTCCCAAGTGCTGGGATTACAAAGCATGGGCCACCACTGGTGTAGGATTTTCCTAAATGGCATATCACCATAGGAAACTTTTATCTTTTTTTGGTGGTACTGGGGCTTGAACTCATGGCCTGCACTTTGAGTCACTCCACCAGCCCTTTTTTTGTGATGGGTATTTTTCAAGATATGTTCTTGAGCACCATTTGCCCAGGCTGGCTTCAAACTGTGATGCTTCTGATCTCTGCCTCTTGAGTAGCTAGGACCACGTGTGTGCCACCAGTGCCCAGCTGCCATAGGAAACAGTGATAAGATGCTAATGAAGGGTACATCCCAGATTGGGGGGTGGGGGAAAACTTATAGAAATCAGTAATTTCTGGGGTTGTGTCAGAAGCTGTAAGGGCCACTTGTACATAGAAATCAAGTCCCCTCCTGAAAAAGCTTCATCTGCCACCAGTCACTTTGTGGCTAACTCTGGTCTCTTCTTGTTGGCTCTGTACACCTCCTTGAGAATTTTGTTTTTGGCCACCTTGGGGTTTGAACACAGGGCCTCATGCTTGCTAGGCAGGCACTCTACCACTTGAGCCTCTCCACCAGCCTCTGTACAGCTCTTTGCCAAGCCACTTCTGCTCTGCCATTTAACTGAAACCAACTGAGGCCAGGTGATAGCATAGCAGACACCAGAGGTGAGCCAGCAGGTGCACCTGAGGAAGCAGCTGCACTCAGGCAGCAGCAAGAAGGACCAGGGAGGAGACAGTGAAGGTCCTGTGGTCTCACTCTTCTGTTAGGTGTGGGCCAACCAGAGCCTCTTGGAGGCTGACTGATAGAGGTCTTAACATACCACATCCTCTTCCCTGGCTCCAGAATTCACTCCCAGTCCTCACCAGAGCCACCCACTGTGCCTAAGAGAAGGCACTGGTTCTTAGCTGGTGGATGCTGGAGATTTGCCAGGACCTCCCTGCCCTCAGGGAATGTGGATAGCTTGTTTCACGGAGATCATTTCTACCACGGGGACATATAAATGATGCTGAGGTTCAAGTGGACGGTGAGTTCCTGAGGTGGACAGGTAAAGCTGGGGAGTCCCTTCAGATTTGCCTGATATACTTCTGTCCTCTAACACAGACACAAATGAGATTGGAGTCTATTCGGGTAAAATTAGTCTGTAGCTCAGAGCCCGGATGGGAAGAGAAATGAAATCTGAGAAAGTCTAGTCATATTTACCCAAGTGTACATTTCCCTACCTCATGTGTGGCGTTTTGAAATTCAAATCACATTTATACCTTGGACATTGTTAGAAGGACTATTTTTATCCTTGCTGTAATCATATAATTTTGCTGATTACAGGTCTCAAATTGCCACAGAGAACTCAATTTTTGAAAGAATTGTCCTATTTGATCAAATATGTTATTCAGGCAAGGCATTCATTTGTTCCACAAGGTTACCTGCCAGGCAGAGTTAACCAGGAGTAATAGCATTTAGAGGCCTATACTTAAAATCAAGCATTAGCTAATCTGCCTGGAACAATGGAGTCTTAAATAGAATTTGTCGCCGACACTTCAGTTCCTACACTGACAGACAATTGCATTTTGTATTCAATGAGCATAGATCTTTTTTTTTCCCTACCTTGTCCTAATTCCAAATTTAACTCCAGAAGACTCTAATGTGCTCAGTTTCACTGGCTTTCCAGGTACCATTTCCCCGGAGCCTCACGTGGGAGGACAATGCTATTCTTTATTAAATAAACACTCCCCCACCTCTTGCTCCCCTTCTAAATCATTTACCTGATTAAGCCAATTCTGAAAACTAGCTTTGGACCATGCAAGGAGGCCCAAGGCTAATGCCAGCTTTGCCCCAGGATGGCGTGCCCCCCCCACTCCTGGAGGTAAAGCACAGTGGGACAAGTAAGCTGGAGTCCCATGGGAAGAGGAAGGAGCAGGTGGCCTCTGGGAGCACAGGGCTGGGCAAAGCTTCCTCACTGAGACATCCTCCCTAGCAGTCTGCAAAATCAATTGTGGATGGGGTGAAGGAGAAGAGATGACAGAGACCGAGTCACAAGGAGCCTTTGCACATCAAACTGAAGATGGGTGTGGTGTCTCCGGCAGCAGGAAGCTGGGTTTATAAAGGGGGTGGTGACAGAGATGTGCTCAGAGTCTAGAGCTCTGCCCCTCCATGTTGACCAGAACATGGGGGACATGAGGAAGGCCTGAATTCAGCTCTGAATTTCTAAATAGCCTGGCCAAGTGACTGCACCACAGTGCCATCTGTCCTGTACGTCTACATGGGGGTCTGCCAACAAGTTCCTCCAGGCGTCCTGCGGAATCCATCCCAGCACTGGCCTTCACAGATGCCATTTCTTCATTGGCCTCTAGAAGTAGTCACCTTGGGCTGGGACCCACTTCTGCCACTCCCTGTCCTTAGCTTCCTCAAGCTGTGAAGTGCAGTTGGGATGACACTCAGGGCACTGACCCCATGGAACTGGTGGGTGATGCATAGAAACCCTTGGCACAGGGTGGCCACATATCCTGGGGACAGAGCCCTGGGGACACTGTTAAGGGTAGGGCTGGTCGGCTTCCATCTGTGCCCCGCACAGCCCATTCCAGGACAGCGGGGACCACAGACATACAGACATGCAGACAGCTGCCTTGACCTCCCAAGTCTCCTCTCCTCCAGCCTGGCCAGTCCTCCAGGCCTCAGTCCCATCTCTCTCCTCCACTGCATGCTCCAGTGGGCTCCTGTCCTCATATACCACATACTGTCCTCCCCAAAGCCACCGAGACCTCTGTTAGTATTGGATGTGAAATATCTCCTCCTCCCCGCTAAAGGTCCCTGCTTGTCACTATTGGGAAGGCAGAAATGTTAAGAGGTGAGACCTAGTAGATGACTTCAGATCACTGGGGGCATGCCCTAGAGGGGAGGAGTGGGACCCTAGCTCTTTTCTCTTCTCTTTTGCTACCTGGCCACAAGGGAGCCATTCTAACACACCCTGTATCAGGGCAGCTGCCCTGACCACTAGAGGCCTGAAAGCAATAAGGTCTTCCTTATTACCTTGAGCTGGAATAAACCTTTCCTCTTCATATGCTGATCACCTCTGGGTATTTATTACAGTAATGAAAATCTGACTAACACACTGTCCATGTGACAAACCTCACAGCACGCCAGCCTTCATCTCACTGGCCATCTCAGCCACACTTGGCTCTGCAACACATGCTTCCCTCTGGAAACTAGTCATCGTCCTCAGCTTTTGTGCATCCCCCCCTCTACACACACACACATACCAGGTACCATTCATCTCCTCTTCTCTGACCCAGAAAGAGATGAAAGAGCCACAGGTCCCTCCCAGGCCCCCATGACCCCCCAAATTCTGTCCTGGGGCAAGCTCCCCACTCCAAAGCCTTGGATGCCTCCACGGTGCCCCCCACCCCCGCACTTCCTCGTGGTGTCTCTGCCCCAGCCAGGCTCCCTGACAGCCTCAAACCTAAATGCCCAGCTGTCTGAGGGGTGCCCCCACGTTTGATCTCTTCCTGCCGTTCCTTCTTCACCTTCTGATGCTATCAGGAAAAATGAGAACTGGCAACACATCACATATGGAAACAATCCCATCCACAAGTCATCGAGACATGCAAGATAAAACCAGGAGGTCAGGGTGGTAGAACTTTAGCGTGCAGAGTTGAAATGAATTCTTCAGGCCCGTCACCCACACTTCCCAAATTGGCTTTGCGTCTTTTTTTTTTCCTTAAGGAATACAATATGCCAGGCATGTTTG